CTGCATGATCCGGGGACAACAGGGCAGACCCTACAGTGAAGGAGATCCACACACAGATATTAAGAAAAAGGAGGGAGGAATTGCCAGCCATCTAAATAATTTAGTTTCAATTTTTTCTCCCATTCTGACAGATATTTAGTGCAATTCATATCATGATGGCAACTACCAGGAAGAAGGGAGTAAAAATCTTGATTACATCCTTTCTATAAAAGGCCAAGCAGAAACTGGGGAGATTTGCTCTACATAGCAGGTGAAGAAGTAACCTGCTACTTACAAAAGCTTATGTATATCTGGATTTAGTTAGTTTATAAAGGGGCAGATCTATCCTGCCTTCTCCTTGACTTCAGACTAATGTGGCTAGTTAACTCTCTAAAGAGAGCCCTCCTTTCCAACCCAAAAAGAAGAGAGGCCTTGGGTTTGGGGTGCGGAAGTCAAAGGCTTGCTAGTAGGAGCTGGCAGAAAAACAGAGAAAGCTGGCTGGGTTTATACAAATATGAGGGAGAGATGTCTAAAGTCTCCCTTTGCTTCTTGATAGGTTTCACCCTACTGCTAAGTGCTCTTAGTAGCTGCAAGATGAACAAACAAGCAAGTACAAGACAACATTAAGCAGGTGTCAAAGTACCTGTCTTTAATAGTGTAATAAAATGTCTGGAATAAACCACACCATATAGCCAATGTAATGTAAAAAGGCATGTTATACACATTTATTATCAAATTTTACATTCCACTATAAAACAAATATTTAAGTGCAAAAAGCAGATGAACAAAAAACCCTTGTATTTGTAGATCCCAAAGTCTGCACAAATATCCTGTGCAACTAAACAGGATTCAGATCTCAAACCTCTGCTCAGCATACAGAAGTATGCCGTTTTCATTACAGTTGATTTTCTTCTAACATCCCATTTTACCATCTCTGTGTATTAATATCATACAGGTTTGTAAGAGGTTTACACCAAAGAAGTTCAGCTAGGAAGACTTAATAGCCCTCAGTTAAATGTGTACTTTACCAAAGTATACGTAAAAACATGAATAAGGCCGACACTGCAGGAACCCCATTCACTCACACCTTCTGAGGGTCTTCCATAATAAAAGCAATGGCTAACTTCCTTTTGCTGCCTGTACCTCCAATTTTTGTTCCACCCTGCAGTTTGTGGCTATAGGGCCACTCTCAAATGTAGTTATTACTCGCTGTCTAAGACACCCTGAATTTATCATCAATACCCTTTTACTGAAGCTTAGCTTTCTCAGTCTTGCAAATGCATAGTTCCTGCTGGGATGCAGACAAATTGATCATTTTTTCTGAAACACCAGCAACTAAATATGCCATCATCATCAAGAAAGCCATTCTCTAAAAGCTGCCTTCTCAGATTTGGCACAAGCCTTTGCTACATCCTCCAAGTTTAATTTTCCCTGACACTGAAAATTAGACAAAACAGACATGAGTATCCATGATGTAAATTCGCAAGATAAAGCTTCAACAGTATTGCACCAAAGCTTTGACTCAATGGATAATAACAAATCCCACACTTCTGTACATGCTCTGCTTTCATTGCCTTCCTGCTTTAGGCAGGTATTTCAGGACAAACTGTTCTACAAACACTTTATTAGACATCTCCATACCATGGATTAGACCAGACCAGATTATACTTTTTTTTGGCCGAAATACCCTGACACTCAAATCAAAACAACTTTTAAAAAGGCTTCACTCCATTTGGACAAACATGTTTAAATTATTGTGCTTTTAAATTAACTCTGACAGAAATGTGGTCTGTGAAAGTCTAAGTTAGCTGACTTGCCTTTTCTGCTGATAATATGCATATGTAGCAAACATCTGTAGCAATTTTAAGCAAATCTGCTTAGAAATACACATATTAATTCTAAATTATTTAATACATTTAAAAAGCTACTTGCAGTTTACAGTTATTTCTATAATAAATGTACATAAACTGGACATTAACTTGGGACACTACGGTCTTCTCTGGAGATACAAGACTGTCTGACTTGTCTACTACTTCATCACTTTGTTTCCCTACATATCTGCAGTTCACTAGACACTTGGTTCCTTAGACAGCAAATAAAAAACCCCCTCTCCATTTATCTTGCTTAGCAAGGCAAAGCCTGACAAGTCTCAGGCACTACAAACCTTGGGGGTGGCGGGGTGGAACCAAGTGAAGACAACAAACCTGAACAGGGAACACTTGTCACCGATACCAGAATTAACCCGTATAAAGCATTTTAAATAAGTTCCTTCATGTAATATCTTTTTAAAGTAGTACAGGATTTTGCTTAGTGCAAAAAGGCAACTACCAACGCTACTGAATGCTCTTGGGCATGGCACCTTAGAATCCATGCATAAGCCTGAAGTATTTGAGATTTTTTATATATATGTTGATACTATATCCAAAGGCATCACTAACATACAGAAAGGGCTGGATAAGTAGGAAAGGATACTTCATGAAATGAGACAAAACAACTTCACAGTAGTTTTCTGTCCTCTGCTATTTAAAGCTTCTATGTTCATCCTGGCAGTGGCCAGAACTCAGATTAGGATAGGCGCGCCCTTGACAATTATACCTGCTTTCCCCAATATATTCCCCAAAGGTGTCAGCTTGGAGCCTGACCACCCTTACTAAGCACAACTGTTACAACATGGTTATGGGCAAAACTAATCCTATCATGGTGTGGGCTGGCCAATGTGAATGAGACTAAAATGTATTAAAATCCATACCAGAAACTGTTCCAGTGCAGGTAAAGACCATCCAGCCAAAACAGTTTGAAACCCTGGTTTGATCTTTCAGTGTGGTGTGAACCTTCATAGTACACATGCTGTTCTAATCCATCACA